AACCTGGAGACAGTAATACATGCATTCATTACATCTAGGCTTGATTACTGCAATTCACTCCTGTTTGGTATCAGTCAAACCTCCATTGCACGACTACAACTGGTCCAGAATGCAGCAGCCCGATTTTTAACCAGTACAGGCAAAAGAGAGCACATTACACCAGTTTTGGCCTCACTGCACTGGCTACCGGTTCACATTCGAATCCAGTTCAAAATACTCCTGTATGTCTACAAATCGCTGAACAGTCCCCCCCCATCTCTCTGATCTGCTACAACCGTATGTCCCACCACGTTCCCTGAGGTCAGCGGACCAGTTGCTCCTCACAGTTCCAGGAACTCGTCTTAAGCGCAGAGGTGACAGGGCCTTCTCTGTAGCAGGACCAAGACTTTGGAACGAGTTACCTCTGGTTGTCAGACTGGCCCCCTCCCTCTCGGTTTTCAAATCCTGTTTAAAAACTCACTACTTTTCAGTAGCTTTCAACACCAGAGGATCTGTGTTGTGAATCTGTACGCTCCACACTGGTTTGTCATCATATTTATTATGTGCATCGTTTTTATGTCTGTATTTTGATTTACTTCATTTTGTATTTTACTTCGTGTGTTGTCTGTTGTTCCGTCTGTACAGCACTTTGGTTGGCCTTGTAGCTGTTTTAAGTGCTCTATAAATAAAATGGTATGGTATGGTACTGTAAGAATAGAAATGAGTGTGCAACAAACTTGAGTGCATCCATTTTTATAAAGTGCATGTTGCGTTGGGTTTAACCATTGTTAGTAAGCAAAGAGTCACTTTGAAGTGGAATGTAAAAGTTGCAAGAAAAGTTTAGAAAAACTTGAGTTTGGTTTTATTGTGCTGCTTATTATTGGAGAGGCCACAATACCAGCGTGACCTTCATTACGAAGACTGAAATGAGCAGAAAACAAATTCCTGTCGTAGCTGAAGCTCTGCAGTAGATCATACCCTGCTATACCATCATACCCATAGCATACCCTGCTAATCGTCTCTGGTCTGCATTCCTGTAGATTGCTGATGTCCTCTCCAGCCTGAATCCAGCAGTGCTCCTCACATTGGTAACCATCGTGCAGTCATACTTTTCTGTTCATAATGTTTAGTTTTTCTGACTGATTTACAGTACAACTTTTACTAGGATCCTACTATGTTGTATGAATGCACCTGATTTTGTTCTCCTGCAGCGAGGACAGAACACTGATAGTGGAAGCATCAGCCGTGAAGCCTCCTTTGAAGGAATTAGTAGGTATGTTATTTAACATTATTTAGCACTATTGTAATCATGTTTTATCATTGAACGTTATTTAAAAATAAAATTATTTGCTTTTTTCAACACTTATAGTCAAAGATGCAACATATTAGTAATGAATGTTGAATGTGTGTCGGGGTGTTTGTTTATTTTAAATGAAGCTTTTGACACAATTGTTCATTTGTTGCTCCTACATAAATGTGAATAATAAAAAACAAGAGATGTAAATTATTGGTTATAAAGGTAATTGGACAATAGTGTTCTTTATGTAAAAATCAGTAAAGCTGAATCACAAGAAGAATAACCTGTGGCATTCCACAAGGTTCAATATTAGGACAAAAATTATTCATATTGTATATGAACGGTATTTGTTCTGTAACCAAAAACTACAATGTTTGCAGATAATATGAATGTATTTAGCTCAGGACTAGATATGAAAGAATTTGTAAAAGCAGTATAAAGTGAACTGATATTTGTTTAAAAGAAGAAGAAGAGATGTCTGTTTCTAAATAAAAATATATCTAGTTTAAGTTTTTGGCATTGGTAGAGACAATAACTAATAAACACTTCGATTAAAAAAGGTTGAAATTAAAGGAATCTAATAAACAAAAACTTAAGTCTGATCATACCCTCTGCTGGAAACCAAAAGTAGTTTTATGAAAAATAAATAATCTAAATAAATCAGTTTGCAATTTAGAGTTAAAACCATTGGATATGAAATTTCTGCATATAACTGCAGTGTTTTCTTGTAATACCATATGGTATTTTGTGTTGAAAGGTGGGTAAATGCACTTTAAACTAATCTAGGCCCAACATTTAAACTTAAAAATGATCTATCGGTATAATTTACAAAGCCTCTTATAATGAACACACTAGTAATCTTTTTTTTTTATTACTCAAAACTCCAACATATAGTATGTTCTAATAAGAAGAGGAACATCTAATTTATGAGAATTGTTTATATTTGTTAGTAGTTATTCAGAACTAATGTTAAATGTAGATGAGTTCCAGTTCTAGGAGTTGTGTTTAGAACCAGTACCACACAGGTAATGTTGAACCTTTTTTTTTTTTTATCAGCTTTCACGTGAACAACACAATTTTACACCCTGTCATTGTGGATTGGTGAGTATAATACTTTTTATCTGATCAAGAAAGACCACTTTAATACTTTAGAAGTTTCTTTTGTAATTGTTAATTTTTTTTTTTTTTTTTATTGTTAATTGTTAATGTGAGACATTTTAATGGGTCAACAAATTAGTCTTCTTATTTCCCCATTTCTTTCCCGTCTTTTGGGGTAAATTACTCTTGACTATAATGAGCTTCATATTTGCTTGGTTGTCTCTGGTATTAAAGTTTGAAGCCTTTAAATATTGAGGGGGGATGTTTTTTAAGTCTAGAACAGCAGAATGTGGATATTCCTGCTGGATTACTATTATTGTCTTTATAAAAATTCATTTTGAGAATAATTTTCAACAAACTGTTTTAAATGTGGTCATAAATATTTATACTTCAAACATAATATGGTACTATTATTGTTTCTTTTTGCTTATTGTGAAAAGAACCTTTTGTATGGTGTTTGGCTTTACATTTATTTTACGGAACAATTGTCAGGTTTTAAAAGCTGCTTACTTTTTGTTTGCAGTCGTGTTGTTAAGTCTGACATGGAGCTGGAGGTCCTGCGCTACACCAACAGGATTTCCAGCGATGCCCATAAAATGGTAAGCTCCTTCTTGATAAGATCAGCTCTGTGTAAGGATACTAAAGAAGTTGGAGAGTTCAGAGCATTTAACACCCTGAGTATCAAAAAGCTTTTTGGAGTTTAAGACAGTCTAAGGGTGTCAGGATTCTCTAAGGCTACAAATGATTCAAACTGTATACATGTTATCTTCCTCTGACAGTTTGGAGTCCAGAGGTTAACAGAAATAGCTTATAGCCAACAATATGTAACTTTAAAACAATATTAAACATTAGTTCATGAAAATCTTTTCAAGGTTGAAAAACACTTAGCTTTTCAACCACTGGAAGCTTTTTAACTCCCCGAACCAAATAAATGACTGTACTGTTGACTGGTGGACAGTTTTACAATAAAATGTGCTAAATTTGTTACAAATAAAACATTTTTTTTTTTATAGATCATGAAACATGTGAAACCTGGACAGCATGAATATGAAATGGAGAGGTAAGTTAAATAATTCAGTGGATCTATACGTTTTCTTTTACTAACAGGACATGCAAACACAATGTCTCATAGTAACTTAATGGTTAAGTTGTGTAACTAATGTGGAAAAAACAATTGATGTATTTTTTTACTTATGACTGTTGTAATGGAAACACACTGATGGTCTAGTTGTGTTGGAGTATTTCATGCACTTTAGAAACCTGTAATGCCACAATTAAGGCAATGATGGAAAAACTAAATTTTCTGTAATATACAATAAAAAAGAATGAAGTTAATGATATGAGGGATTATCAGTATTATCGTCTGCATCAAACCTGATTTAAATCAATTTTTACACTGAACTGAAAAACAAAACAACGTTTAATTATTCAGACATTTTTCAGTTGAGAAACAATCTTTACACATAACACACTTGCAGCTTTTAAACTCCAGCAAAAGAAAACGAAACACTAAATGACTAATTTTCACAATGGATTTACCATATTTTCTGTTATATTGGATTTCTAGCTTTACATCTGCACTTACTGTATGGAGGAAACCACAAAATGCTGCACAGTTCTGCACTGTTAAGATCCTTATAAGTATATAGAAGGATTTCTAAAGTCAGGGGGAAAATGTATTTAGCTTTAAATGTGTCTTCTGCAAATGTTGTTGCATAATTAACTTAATCTTACTGGTTTTGGGTTGATGTTTTTTTTAAGTACGCTTTACTTTTTTTCCCAGTTTATTCCAGCATTACTGCTACACTAAAGGAGGGATGCGCCACACTTCATACACTTGTATCTGTGGATCGTAAGACTTGATTTATTAATGATTAACCTTTTTTAATATTTTACTTTGTCACTGGAAACTGCAGTTAAACTATAACGCTGACCACAGTTGTTATGAAATGTGTCTTAATTTTTGTTTTTAATTTATAAACCATTTCTTTTGCAGAGGTAACAATTCCTCTGTGCTCCACTACGGTCATGCTGGAGCTCCAAATGACAAAACGATTCAAGATGGGGACATGTGGTGAGTTATCTTCAGTCGTTTTCAAAATGTCTGTAACATGGGCTTGGTTTTTAATTTGTCAGAAGTAATCATGAGAAATATGCATAATCATTTTATGATCAAGTTGTTTTTGTAAAAAAATGTCAACTTTATTATATTTGTTTTAATGTTTACTAAACTAGAATCTCTCAAGTACGACAGCTTTTGGGCCACACTAAGGGAAAAAAAAAAATTACATTACGAACGAGAATAAAGTCATAGTATTACGAGAATAAAATCGAACAACAAGTTATAATATTACAAGAATAAAGTCATAGTCAAAATAGTCCATGCTCAATAATCCAGGTATACAATCCAACAATTTTCAGTCAGGTCATCTGGACAGTTTCTTTTTTTTTTTTCTGAAACGTTTCACCTTCCATCTAGAAGGCTTCATCAGTCAAGGAAACACACAACACAAAACTGATTCTTCCCACAAACAGCTTACTCCAAAGTGGAACAAACCAGTTATGTGGTGCTAAGATGGTGTCTTTGGCACGCCCCCTCCTCCGATGCCAGCCCTCTTCCTCATCAACAGTCATGTCAAACTGGTTCAAAACTAAAATAGTCCTTCCGAAGCCTTCCGGATGGAAGGTGAAACGTTTCAGTAAAAAAAAAAGAAACTGTCCAGATGACCTGACTGAAAATTGTTGGATAAATTCATAGTATTACGAGAATAAAGTTGTATGACAAAGTTGTAGTATTATGAGAATAAAGTCATAGTATTACCAGAGTAAAGTTGTAATATTATCAGAACTCTGAGACGAAAAACCCGTCTTACAACTGTGGTAAAATGATGAATGCTGATGTCGGCAGTATAAAAGCAGGGGGCCCAACACACTGGAGTGTATGGATTCTTATGATAAACTGAAGCCGTATGGCATTGCAATTAATAGCTGCATTGATGGATTTAGTCGTGACATAATGTGGATGGAGACATTTCATAAACAATGACCCAAAAGTGATCGCGGACTACTTCATAAACACAGTGACTCACATTGGAGGCTGTCCACAGCAGGTGCGAGCCGACACAGGAAATATGAAGAGATTATTCTCGTAATATTACAAGTTTATTCTAGTAATATTACAAGTTTATGCTCGTAATATTATAACTTTTTTCTCTTAATTTATTTTTTTTCTTAGTGTGGACCTAATACTCCGTCATACTTAAGCACTTGAAACAATTCAAAACATTTCAGAAATAAATTAGGCGGTTCTGATCTTTGCCCCCATGCAGTCTGTTCGACATGGGTGGAGAGTACTACTGCTACTCCTCCGACATCACCTGCTCCTTTCCAGCCAACGGCAAGTTCACTGCAGACCAGAGGGCCATCTATGAAGCAGTCCTGAAATCCTCGCGTGCTGTTTTAGCTGTCATCAAACCAGGTTAACATCTTTCATCTTACTAAGAACACTGTTACAGAAAGCACAGTGACGAAAAGTCATTGAATTTAAAAACACATAATTAACCTACCGTATTCTAAGTAATTAGCATTTTGCTGTAAAATGTTGGTTAAAACTGAAAACACATGCATTTTTTTTACCATTTCATACAAAGTAGAAAAATCTTTAAGTTATCCATGGTGTGATATAAAATACTTGAACTAATTTAGTGCATACAAATGTGCAAACGAACGAAGCAGAATGGTGGAGAGGTTTGGCTTGGAAAGTGTCCTCACAGTTTTGAATTCATTTTCTGCTATATCAAGCGAAACCAAACATCCCACACTACCACACTCCCTCCTTTTTGCTTCACAGGGGAAAGCACACATAGAAATACCGTCTGTTCTGTTCTGTATCTAAGATTTGTCACTTGGTGCCAAAAGTCCCATATTTCCACAGGCCTCTAGGACAAAGCATTTGACTTCTTCCTTTTGGTCTCCCTGAGATCTGCTTTCTTTGCAGAAGTTAAACTTGAATTGTGAAGTGTTTTAGTCACCTGATATATGATCTGAGGTTAAAAATTAATAGATAACCTCAGCAAAAATAAAAGTTTTATGCTCTGTCTTGTGATGAAGTGTCTGAGCATTTTGCAACTGTATTTAAAGACACACCTCAAGCTTTCTGTATCAGTCATGTCAGATTGATGAATTGTCTTTTTTCACTGCACTGAGGGGCTGTTTGTATATACGACTTAGTGTTTTTGCTGAATAGGTTTATTTACTGTTGTCCAAGACCACCTAAAATAATGAATGACCTCAAGCACAGTAGGAAGATGTGAAGTTTAACTAATTCTCTCTTTCACTCTCGACGGCCAGTCACTCTTACCCTCTCTCCCTCCTGCTTTTTTGCTCTCGTCCTGTCAACCTCAGAGCCTCTCCTTTACACATCTTCTGAATTAAAAATTATTATGGATTTGGTCAGCTGGTCCCTCAACACAATTGATGCATTTTTTCCACCAGACGACAGGGTGCTGGAGAGCCCTCATGCCCTGAACAGACCCATGCAGCTGGGTATGTCATGGATTCCTGGAAGGAGTGGAAGATGATGTGCCTATCTGTGCTCTCTATGGAGGACGTAGAAGATGTGTACATTATTGGATTTATAACAGGGTTTCTTTTTGGAATCGGTGGATACCTAGTATATTGACAAATTAGGAAGACGTCGGCAGCAGTTTCGGCCATGGTAAAGCTGCCAGCCTTATGCGAAGGATTCATTCGTGCCTCAAGCTCTCAGACTCATTTGCTTAATGAGCTCAACCGCAAGCTGGACGCGATTTCTGTGAACCGTAGGCCACTTGCGACTTCTGGAACTCATCAGCATGAAGGTTTCAATCTTGGAGAAAGCTAATGGAGCACAGACCGGGCCTAATGTCCATAATTCTGGCTGCTTGGATTCGCCATTGAGTGCACCAGAAGAACTTGAAGGCAGACAGAAAACAGAGTCTGTGGCCCAAACAATTGTTCATCTGAATTTGGACTCCTCGCTGGCCTTGGACAGGCCAACAAATTGCTCAAATTGCTCTTGGAGGATACGTAAACTAGAAGCTTCTGCCAAATTTGTATTCTTTGCATCCAATGAAAAAAGCAAATGTCTCAAAAACAGCTTTTGGAAGACCGTCGAAAAGCACAACGAAAAAATGCTCCAAACCACTTTAAAAGATTACAACAAAGTTATGCTTCCTTGAAAGCAAATATAATGCAATGAGGAATGACTCAAGACTTTTGCAAAGTAGTGAACCTCTCTTGGATGTTTAGAATACGTCCTTGCTGGAGGTCCACTCAGGTTTGGCAGGTTTTTTTCAATTGGGAGAAGCAGCAACACTGCTCAGAGCCCTACTCAAATATCTGAGCACATCACCAGATGAGGTCAACGTCAGCTCACTCGCTGTATCGTAAACCACCACTTCAGTGTGTGCTGAAAATCTCTACTTGATGAAATCAACCGGGCTGCATGATCTGCTTAAAGCAAAGACTATGGTTGTAGTCATCTGAATGGAAAACTCTTCATCCCCTGGCTATGCCTACAAATTCTGTCTAGAAAGGTAATGAACAAAACTGATTTCAGTACCTACCAGAACTGAGAATGATTTCCTACTGGCATAAAAAACCCTCTGCTTACTCTGGTTGTAAAGAAACCAAATAGCCTGTAGCACAACGGTCAATACAATCCCCCTGGTGTCGAATCTTTAAACTCCTGTGCACTCTTAGAGATGGGCCAGTGTTCCCCATTGTTCCCCAAGTGTTATCTAAAAGTTTTTATGTTCTTTTTAAATGTATTGGTTGGCTAAAATATTTTTGTGTGATTATCGTAAAGTAGGATAGAAAGATCTGTTTTTGTAAAGCACAAACCAAAATAGCTAGAGCGGAGATATGCAAGTATAAGGGTCTTCCATCGTTCAGAAGTTTAAACTATCAATTGTTGTTTATAAAAGTGTCTGCTTTTTTTAGGCGTGAAGTGGGCTGCCATGCACCGCTTGGCTGACAAAGTTCACCTGGAGGAGCTTGTGAAGATCGGCATCCTGCATGGCAACGTGGAGAACATGCTGAAGGTTCACATGGGCTCCGTCTTCATGCCCCATGGCCTGGGACACCTGCTGGGCATCGATGTGCATGATGTGGGGGGCTACCCTGAGGTAAAAACAAAAAAACTTAAAATCTAAGATTTTCCTCATTAAATCCAGTAGTTTATTATTAGGACTGTAACAAAAAGATTTTGTTTCTTTCTTTAACTGACTCATGTTTCTGTTCTTCAAACACAAATATCTAATCAATAAGAGAAAATCTAGTACAGACCTGAGAGAGGAACGGGCTCAGGCTGAGGTCAGGAGAGTCCCAGCTCTTAGCACAGAGAGTTTCATGTTGTGGTGAATGAAAACATTATACTGTTGTACAATTTTGTCTAAAATATCGTGAGTTAACCAGTACCTGTGTGGAAATATTATAAACTGTTGCTTTGACATGCTTTAGTTAACGTCACATTAGAACTTATAGAAGCAAACTTAAATAAATTCAATTATGATTATAACAGTATATACATTTTCTATTTATTTGGTTGGAAACATTTCATTAAATGAAACAGACGTTTCAGGTTAACATTTAGCCTTTTGTTAAGTAACAAGAGATCAAAATCTAATATAGTTAAGTAATTAACATTTTCAAACCAGTTTTGAATCCAACAATAGAAAATATTATGTGTTCAAGGGAGTGGAGCGCATTAACGAGCCTGGACTGAAGAGTCTTCGAATGGGCCGCCTGGTGCAGGAGCGGATGGTCCTCACTGTGGAGCCTGGCATTTACTTCATCAACCACCTGCTGGACCAGGCCCTGGCTGATCCTGCCCAGAGCTGCTTCATCAACAACCAAGTGCTGGCACGATTCCGAGGCTTTGGAGGGGTTGGTGCACAGATGCATTTCTCTGTCTTTTGCTTTGAGTTATTTCGAAGAGCAATTAAGACTAGATAAAATGTATTTCCTGCGAAATGCAGAGTGAATGCTTATTGCAGAAGAACTTGCTGAAAGCTGAAATTAGCTAAAAAAAAAGTTGAAATGTAGCTGAAATGGAAGAAAAAGCCTAAGTTAGCAGAAGAATGCAGAAAAACAAATATTTGCTTGAGCACCAAAAATAGGAAAGTAACTTAAAAGGCTGATATTAGCTTCTTTTTTTTTTTTTCAACTTAAAATGTAGCTGAAAAGGTAGAAATAAGCTTAAACTACCAGAAGGAAGTGAAAGGAGCTGAAATGAGCTAAAAATGTGGAATTAGCTGAAAGTTATAATTGGCATTAAAACAGCTAAATAGTAGCTGAAATTGCAACCAAAAAGAAGCTGAAAGGAGCATAACAAGCTAAAATTAGCAGAAAGAAGTTAGAAGAACAAAAATGTTGTAGTTAGCAGTAAGTATTTAAAAGGAGCACAAAACATCTGAAAAAACAGCCGAAATTAGCTGAATGTAGCTTAAAAATTTTTAAGTTTGCACAAGGAAGCTGAAAGAAACTTAACCAGAATGTGAAAGGAGCAGTAAAAGGTTGTAAACAGATCTAAATATGTGAAGGATGTAAAATGAGCTCAGTTCATTTTCTATGGGGAAAAAAAGTGGCAGAAAAGGCTAAACATTTCAAAAAGCTAAAGTTGCACCAATACCAAAAGTCATAGGATTGTCTTGAAAGAGCTGAACGTTTTAATATATGATCTGTTGAAATAACTTGAAAACTGGGGGACGAGAAAGATGCTGAAATATGTACGGAAGAAAAGTGGATCACAATAGTGTGAATGCTTCGCACACAATAAACGGATGGTAATAGATAACAGAGGTTTAGACCATGGGAAACAAAATCTTCAACTCAGTTATTAAAATATGTATATTTTGCATGAAGTGATTCAGCTCACAATACAAAATGTGTTTTGTTGTAGTTCTAGTGCTTCACTAACATCATATAACCACTGTGTGCAGGTTCGCATTGAAGACGACATTGCAGTGACGGCTGACGGTGTAGAGCTGCTGACCTGTGTCCCTCGCACAGTGGAGGAGATTGAAGCTTTTATGTCTGACTCCTCCAAACCTTTCAGTCCAGTTGTCAGCGCCGAGTAACTCTGAATAAGAAATAACAGAGAAGTCTGTGCTGAATGCTGCAAAGCCTTTATTGCAAAGATTCCTCAGGAAAACTACAGTTATTATTCTGCCTAAATAATCAGTAAGAAAATCATCTCTCCACAGTTTTTCTTTTTGCAGTCTTCTTAATGATTTAAAGGTTTTTAAGAATATAAGCATGACTAACTTTATTAAATTGTTTGAATGCTTAATCACAATTTCGAAAACAGAATTCTTTTCACAGTTATACACTCACTAAGTACAATCCCGAACTTTTGCTAAATGTTAACAATATACATTTTAAGAAATCACCATATCAAAACACTTAATGTGCTAAGCCTAAACAATGTTAGCACTTTTACTTATGATCACTGTAAGTGAGGTTTACAATGAAAATGCTCAAATTTATTTACCAATCACAACTCGATAAATAGGTTTAGTGTTTTGTAAAAAGTGTGAGTCTGACATTGTGCTTATTGTGCAGATCTGAGCAAGTGTTTGACTACTTCATTGTAGCTTTGCAAACTGAAAATTATTTTAATAACTTTGACTTTGGTCTCAAAGCAATCATAAAAAAACTAATATAACTGAGTCTCAATATGCTTAGAAAATTTTGTAATTTTATAAAAATGAATGAAGGTTTTACTGATGTGTTTTTTTCCTAAACATTCATGAATAAAGTATATTCTTTGCAACCGTGTGCAGCTGATTTGTTCAGTTTGATATAATTTCTAACACTGAACTGACTTTCATTCAGTCAGTGTTCTCGACCACAACAAACAAGTGTGCCAAGCAGTAACCTTTTTAAAGAAACTTCGAGGTATTTCACAGCCAGCCTTGAGCTATAATGTTACATAATGCATACATATTCTAATTATCTGAGGCTGAATTTTGGATTTTCATTATTTGTAAGCCATAATCATCAAAATGATTTGAATTAAAGCCTTGAAATATTTCACTCCGTGTTGAATCTGTATTAACATGAGTTTCACTTAATGAAATGATTGGCAAAAATAATTAAATTTTGTAATTATACACGTTTTTTTAGATGCACCTGCACACACACATTACAAGTCTGTTCTTAATACTTTGTGTTGCTCGCATTTTTCAACAAAAGACTGGTTACATTTTTAGATTTTTTTAAAGCCATTTTCTCACACATCAGCCCTTAATAAAAACAGTTGCAGTCAAATTCTTGAATAAGGGTGATTGGACGTTGTGTGGAGTTGTTATCTTTAAGGGATCTAATCAAAATGAAAATGTCCACACTGCTCACATACGGATTGTTAATATCCTGTTTTGTAAGTTATCTGCAGTCATATAGTGGGATCTGTAGATGAAATAATAATGAGGGAGGAGCTGTCTGATAGGTGTAAGGTGAAAACCTGAGTATCAATGTGGCAAAGAAGTGAGATGGTGGTGGACTTCAGGAGAAAAGCGTATACACCCCTCCTCTCCATTTCATTGGAGAAGCCATGGAGCAGGGAAAACAGCTAAACACTCCATGCTGACAAGAAGACGCTGCAATGATCTAGATCTGCTGAAAATAACACTGGAGGAAATTTACACTAACAGACGCAAAACCCGAGCGACGACCATTATGATGGACCCCGCCCATCCAGCTTGTAACCTGTGACCCCATCCGTCAGGCAGAAGGTTGCACAGCTTAAAGCTCGGACAACAAGAGACTGTGAGGCCCATGAAGTCTGCCTCAGCTGCTCTCTGGACACTGGTTTCCTCCCACAGTACAATAAACAGGCATGTTGGGTTGAATTGCATCTAGGTGTGAATGTTTGTCTCCATGCGATGGGCATGTGACTTGTGCAGGGTCGATCCCTTCTGTCACACAGTGACTGCTGGAGATGAGCACCAGATGCTTGGTGACCCAGAATGGGAACGCAAAGAAATGAGATGTATAAGATTTAAAGACTTTCTTTCAGGCTGGTCTGAGAATTGTTTTTAGTTCTCCCGCGTCTCTGACATGCTCTTGAATGATAAAAATAAATTATTCTGAATATGAATCGTGTTCTTGGCTTGATCAGAGCCATTTTTGACTCGTGTTGACAAGATGTTTCATAAAGAGCTCATTAAGGTGAAATGTGTGATCTGACGAGCTGTGATATGTGTGTCCTTCACAGCAGCTGTCAGGTAACCTTCGTGTTTGTAATAAAACTAACTTTTTGGTAATGTCTCCTAATAATACAGAAAACCTGTGTTAAAATATGTAGCATGACCCTCAACAGAAGATCTAATGGGACTCATTGTTTCTGCTTAAATTAGCTTCAGTCATAATCATATTTTGTAAATATATATGTTTCCTGACGTTCTCCTGACATCCGTAACATTTTTATTCACATGTTTAAAGCTCGTGGTGTTTAGTTTCATTAATTAGTGACTAACTTGGATCAAAGGCTCTGCCTGTGAAGGAATTTGTCTGTAGATTTAATTGGCATCAATTTGCATTCAAATAATAGTTTGCACTTGAAAGCTGGTTACTTTCTATTTATAACCAAAGATGCAGCAGTTGCTCTTTACATGTGGATTGTTTTAAATTATAATAGTTCTAAATTCAAATTAGTTTACAAAAAAAAAGTTATTTTTCTTTCATTGTTCTTAACTTAAAAGCAATGATATTTTGTCTTTTCTTAAATGCATAAATTACATAAACAGGTTTGATCTCCACATGCAGAGCTGACTGCTTTTAAAAAGTCCCAAAAATTTACACAAACAAAAGGGGAGGGGTGGCGCAGAGAAGATGGGCCTGTGATCGGAAGGCTGCCGGTTCAACTCCCCGGACTGACAACATCAAACAGTGTGGGTGGAAATGGTGAAACGTCCTCATATACCTCCATCCTCATTTTCCCCACTCTGGGCCCTTGAGCAAGGCCCTTAACCTCCACCATCTGCTCCCCTGGGCGCCCTATGGCAGCTCCATGCTCCACACAGAGGGCTGTGGTAGCTCGGTGGTCTGTGGTTGCATCAGGAAGGGCAACCGGTGTAAAAATATTTGCCAAGTCTTCGTGTGACTTAGTTCGCTGTGCCGAGTGACGACCCCTGAGGAATGGGCCAGCTGAAAGAAGAAACAAACAAACAAAAAAAAATACATAAACAATACACCATAAGTAATGTTTTATGTTTTTTGTTTGATTTGTTTACTTTTATTATGTGAACAACATAGTTTTAATCACCCAGTTATTTTTATTATTAAGATTCTGGCGAATAAACAACGTAGTACATGTTCTTGAGTGTTTGTGATCAGAAGTAATGAACTCTGTGCTCGCTTGGTTGCCTCTGGTATTAGAGTTTGGAGCCTTCAGATGATTCGAGTTTTGCTGAAATGAGGAGGAAAGCTTCTCAGTCACAGCTCTGAGGGAGCAGAGCTTTATTAAACCTTTCTCCTCCTCCTCTTGTTGGAGCTGACACAATGCTTTTTTAAGGGTTATGTTTTTATTTATTTTTTTCCATTTAAGAGTGTCCTCATAACAATGCCTCATGTTTATAAAAATCTAATATTTTAGATGTTTTTAAATTTGATTCAAAGCCATGGAATAAATGAATGGGAAGAGAATAAATCAGATGATTGTCTGAAAACGTTAAACTCGAACAATTGTTTCTGAATTTAGTGTGAGATGGAAGCTGGAATGTAAGTTAGTTTAAGAATTGCCAACAAGTTGTTAACATTTGGCCTTGTTGTGCTATACCTTATATGGTGTATGTGTATACATATATATATATATATATATATATATATATATATATATATATATATACATACACAGACCCTTTCCAAAAAAATAGAATATAATGTAAAAGTTGTTTAACTTCGATAATTCCATTCAAAAAGTTAATATATGATAGATTCAGGGCCTACAATTTAAACAATTTCAAGTATTTATTTGTTTATTTTTAAATAATTTGGGCTCCCAGCTCATGAAACCCACGAAAACAGGAATTCAAAAAATTAGAATACTGTGGAAAAATCAGCCCACACTTCTTAGTTTTTGCAGAAAAAAATGAAAGAAATTAGGATAACAACAAAATCAAAATATAGTACTTTCAAAACGATATTTTAATCTTGAATACTTGGTTGGGAATCCTTTTGCCTTAATCACTGCTTCGATGCGACGTGGCATTGAGGTAATCATCCTGTGTCATTCCCTGGGAGTTATGGAAGCCCAGATTTCCTTGATGTTTGCTGTCAGCTCTTCTTTGTTGTTGGGTCTGGTGCTCCTCATTTTGCTCTTGAGAATGTCCCATAGATTCTCAATGGGGTTTAGGCCCGGAGAGTTGGCTGGCCAGTCAAGCACTGTGGCATGGACATCAAACCAGGTTTTGGTGCTTCTGGCGGCATGGACAAAGGCCAGGTCCTGCTGGAAGATGAAATCTGCATCTCCATACAGATCTTTTGCAGAAGAGGTCATGAAGTCCTCTTAAACATTCTGGTAGACTGTTGCGGTGACCTTGGATTTAAGAAAGCAGAGTTTACCAACACCTGCACCGGACATTGCACCTTAAATCATGACTGACAGTGGATATTTCACACTGGACCTCAAGCAGTATGGGTTCTGTTCCTCACCCTTCTTCCTCCAAAACCCTTGGACCTTGATTTCCGAATGACAGGCACATTTTACTTTCATCGGAAATGGATACATTGGCTCAGGTTCAGAAGTGCCTTGACCCGAGGAACCCGACAGTTGTGGCCCATCTCCCGGATGCGTCTGAATGTTGTGCTTTTTGAAGCTGTGACTCCCGCCTCTTTCCACTCTTTCTGGATCTCTGCCAGATTCTGGAATCTTCTCTGTTTGATAATCTGCTGAAAACCACGACCATCTCTTTTGCTGGTGCATCTTCTCCTGCCATATTTTGCCCTTCCACTAGACTTTCCATTTATGTGCTTGGACACAGCACTCTGTGAACAGCCAGCCTCCTTAGCTATGAACTTTTGTGGCTTACCCATCCTATAGAGCGTATCAATGATGGTCTTCTGGGCAGTTGTTATGTCTGCAGTTTTCCCCATATTGAACCAAACTGAGGCAATTGAACCAAACTGAAGCAATTTAATGACACCTGGGGAAACCTGTGCAGGTGCTTTGAGTTGAGTAGATGTTTAGTGTGTCACACTGAGTTTAAAACATTCATGCCCTGCAAATTTGGGCTGATTTCTCCACAGTATTCTAATTTTTTGAATTCCTGTTTTCGTGGGTTTCATGAGCTGGAAACCCAAATTATGTAAAAATAAACAAATAAAAAATAAACAAATAAATGTGTAAAATTGTTTAAATTGTGGGCCCTGAATCTATTAAAGATTAACTTTTTGAATAGAATTATGGAAGTTAAACAACGTTTCCATGATATTCTAATTTTTTTGAAAGTGTCTGTAATTTTTATTTAAAATGAACCCATTGATGGTCTGAACTGAGTTCATCCGTGAGCCTGATTTGGCCCCCGGGCCACCAGTTGAAGAGCCCTGGACTAAAGCACTTAAACAAAAATGGCACTGTTTGATTACTCACAGTTACTTATTAATAAATAGGAAAAATACACAATTTGCACAAAAAGTCTTGTATTTGTTTTAAGTAAAGTA